TCCGCTGGGCCTCCCCCCCCTACTTCACCATTCATGACAGTGAGTTCAAGGAGCTCACAACTCGCACACAAGCTCCGTAAGTGCATGTCCTCCCTTCCTGTTCCCACACCACATCCCCTGGGCATTTCTCTGCCTCTTCTCTCTCTCTCTCTCTCTCTCTCTCTCTTTCTCTCTCTAGACCAAACGTGGTCCTGGGAGTCACAAACCCTTTCTTTATCAAAACACTCCAGCACTGGCCCCATGTCCTCAGAATTGGGGACCCCAAGATGTCAGGTGAGAAGTTCAGAGGCTTTGAGCCTCACCTAGTTCAGGACCCCTTAGGGAGGGTAGGGTTCTATAGCCTATGATCTCTGAGCCTATTGGCATGGGCAGAACTGTGGGCACTGAGGCATATTTCACTGGGTATATTTCACAGGGGATCTTCCTAAGCAGGTCAAACTAAAAAAGCCTTCACGACTGAAGACCCTTGACACCAAGCCAGGTCTGTGCTCCCCCCTTGAGCTGCAGCCCCTTCTGCTCTAGTGGGGCCTATCCTGCACTTGCTAGATATCCCTGGTGGTGATGACCAGGCCTTCTGACCCTTCTTTTCCTTCTACTCAGGCTCCATGTGGTAGGGGTTGAGGGGGAGCATTGTCTTCTTTAGCAGGTCTCTTGAGTCTCAGGTTGGATGGGATGTGAGCTGTGCAGATTCTACCAAGGGAATGGGGCTGTAGGCAGATCAGAAAACCATCTTCACCATCAGTAGAGCTGTGGGAGTGTGGAAGGGAGGCTGGATGGACAGCCACACCTCTAACCTCCTGTCAGGCCTCTATACCGCATATACTGCCCACCTCCACCGGGACAAGGCACTGCTTAAACGACTGGTCAAGGTATATGCTGTTGAGTGGGGCTTAGATTTGGGTGCTTGGTATAGTATGAAGGATTCAGGGTACTGGTCAGTGCTGAGACTCAGTCCCCTGCTTGCTCCTGCAGGGTGTACAGAAGAAGCGGTCATGGGATGCACAGAGCGCCCTGCTGAGGAGGCACTTCCTGGAGCTCACACAGAGTTTCATCATCCCCCTGGTGAGATAGGGTTGGGGGAATAGCAGGGGTTGGTGACAGCAGAGCTGTGACAGTAGGGGTTGTGGCCCACACTTGTTCCCCTCCCTCCCAGGAACACTACATGGCCAGCCTCATGCCGCTGCAGAAGAACATCACACCCTGGAAGGTGGAGTCCAGGGAGTTCTGGGGAGGGTGAATTCAGTCCCCATACCAAGAAGGGAAGGCCTGCACATTTGTCCACATGGAACCAGAAGTGGGTGGGGGGTGGTTGTGATGCAGGAGCCACCACAGTACAAGGCTGACTCTACCTACCATAAGGGCAGAGAAATGAAGACTGCAGGGAGGGACACCAACAGAACTGACAAGCTGTCCAGGGATCTGACCCAGGCAGGGTGGGGCAGAGATCTTCTGATGTGTCCTGAGGGGAGCGCCCCATCATGTGGAAGGGCAGGGCCTGTGTGCCTGTGCTCCCTAGCACTCCGCTTATCTGACCTCTGTCTTAGAGCCCCCCCCAGATCCGCCCCTTCCACCAGGATGATTTCCTACGTAGCCTGGAGCACGCGGGACCCCAGCTCACTTGCATCCTTAAGGGCGACTGGCTGGGCCTCTACAGGTGGGAAAACAGTGGGTACAAGCTGCTGCGGGTACCCCTGGGCATACTGGGTCAGCTCCTTAGCTGCTTCTTGCCACCCACAGGCGATTTTTCAAGTCACCCCATTTTGATGGCTGGTATCGGCAACGGCACAAAGAGATGGCCCAGAAGCTGGAGGCCCTGCACCTGGAATCTATTTGTGAAGCGGTGAGGGAAGGCAGAAGCAGGGAATGGGTACAGGCCCAGGGTGGGTGGTTGACTTCGTGTGGAGAACCTGAAATGTCCTCAGCAGAACATCGAGGCCTGGATAAAGGACAAGTCAGAGGTAGAAGTGGTGGACCTGGTCCTGAAACTTCGGGAGAAGCTGGTGAGAGATCTGCCTATAATGCCCAACTTCCACCCACCTGACTAAAAGTGTGTCTGCCCCTTATAACCACTGCCCTTCCAGGTGCGGGCACAGGGCCACCAACTCCCTGTGAAGGCGGTAACACTGCGACGGACACAGATGTACCTCGATACAGTCATTGGCTCCCTGCCCAAAGACCTGCAAGCTGTCCTGTGCCCTCCCTAGGACAGGGCCAACATGTGTAGTCTAGGGTCTAAGCCTGCCAAGCCTCCTTATCCCTTGAAGGCGGACTTCCACTACACTGGGGCTCCCAACATTGGCTCCTATCCTGACTGCAGCCCTCTCCCAGGACATTTGTCCCAGCAGTTAAAAAAAAAAAAAGACATTTGGAACCACAGCTTGGTCCCTGACTGTTGGGGGATTCTATGCTGGCTCTGCCTTGCCCCCTCCTGGGCCCCACCTGCCCTGTACATCTGGAGGTGGGAGTGGCTGGTATCCCTCACTGACGTAGGTGCCCTTGCTGCCTGTCCCCTCCTGGCTCCCATCTGCCTACACTCCAAGATGCCTTGTGTTTAGTGGGTCCTTTCGCCCACCAGGCTTCAGAACAGAGGGAGGCAGCCACCAGGGCCGGCCCCTCTCTTCGCAACCTACCTATTCCTTCTTCTGGGGAAGGAGGGGTGCTTTGCCCAGGCAGCTACTTTGAGAGGGCCAAAGCTGCTTTGTCCTATGAGGACCTGCATCTGCCTGCTGTGTTTGATCAGGGATGGTGTAAAGCCTGGTACCCCCGCTGGGAAAGCAAATTCAGCTTTTCCTTTGGGGGTTCTCACCATAGTCCTTTCTCCCTCTCTTGGAACACCCCACTGGGCACCAGTTCCATGTGTTTTACCCAGGCTGCTAAGGGACACTCTAGCTGTCTTTCCCTATGAAGTTTGAGGGACTTTGGGCTCTAGCCTAGCCCCACATTGCCTCTTCTGTTCTCTTGGCCTTTGTTAGGGTGCAGCTGATCTCTTAGGCAGGGGTGAGTGTCCCTTGGAGGTGCTGTCCTGTGCCCTCCCTAGGACAGGACCAACATGTATAGTCCCAGGGGCCTAACCCTGTCAAGCTTCCCTCTTCCTTGAAGGTAGGCTTCCACCAAGGTGGGGCTCCCAGCCTTGGGATCCTACCCTGGTTGCAGCCACACCCCAGAACCACCTTTGTCTCAGCAGTAAAAATGACATTTGGAACTATAGCCTGGTCCTTGACTGTTGGATTCTGTACTAGCACTGCCTTGCAACCTCCTGGATTGTATGCTCTTAAAAAATACCCCAAAGTCTGGGCACAAGGAGTTTCAGTGTTGTTAATAGCCAAGCACAAGATAGGAGCATCATCAAGGTCCACAGAAGGGTGCAAACAGAAATGTGGACCCAGGACTATAGCCACACCAGTTAAGTATCACCTGCCAGAAGCATGTTGGGTGGGTTTCCTGACCACTCAGACTCCTCATCTGAGAGACTAGGCCACATAGATGTCTCACTGGGCAGTTGTTGGGCAGTGGCAAGGGAAGGGAACATCCAGAGAGACTGAACTGTATATACCCTATGATGCTTGAAAGGGCTGCTGGCAAAGTAAGCTGGTTTATAGTTGCATGGAGAGTTTTGCTTTATTTTAAAGTCCCTATGTCGCATGACTGTATCCTGTCCTGGGTTGTAGACCTCTTGGAACAAATCCTCAAGCACTGCTTGGCTTTCCTCACTGATCCTGGTGAAATCCCCACACAACAAAGCTAGTTCACTATTAACAGGTACCAGGATGACGGTTCCCAGATCTTTGTATGAGTTCACTTGTCTACTCTCTAACCTTGGCCTAGGACAGCTTGTCACTATACCCACCTAACAGGTGAGGAAATGGAGGCAAGATGTGATGAAGGTGTGCAGTTGGACTGAGTCAATCTAACGGAGGGTCCAAGGATGTGACCATAGTTTTAACATCTAAGCAGAGGCAGGTGGAGGTAGAGACCTTGGGGTGAGGAAGGGTGGTTCTAGCCTCCTTTGGACCCAAGATACTAACCTCCCCACCAGGAGACTGATCACTAAGAGATCTGTGGAAATATGCCACTTTCCAAGGTAACAGTTGGAGCTAACAGGCTATGAGGACAGCAGAGTGTTAGCCATTTGGTGTCTGCAGAGCTGTGGCTTTGGTGTGTCCAGGTCTGAGCCCCCTGAAAACCCCTACTCCAAGGTTATGATTGTGACCTACCCTTGAGCATATCTCAAATGTCTTTGCAACATGTGCTTCCTGTGCTTGACTTTCTGAGGGCTGTCACACAGTGGGCTACAGAGCTGTCCTACAAAGGCCCCATGGACCTCAGCCACCATCAACCTGGGAATACAACCTGGCAGTTAGCCATTTTCAGAACACTGGATATGGGACTCAGGATACAGGTACTTCAGAGGTGAGGGTGGGATGGGGTGAAGGGAGATAGTACTGCTCAGGGCATCACAACTCAAGACTGAAGCACACAGGAGTCAGGGAAGTTCCAGTCCCTCTGGACTTGTCCTGGCTGCTGGGCAGAGTACACGGCCTGGGGCCTCCTACCAGTTCCATCCTAGTCCACTCTCTGAGGTAGCCGAGCCTCTCATGCCCACTCCTACCCTTGTCCATTCCAAAGGCAGGGTCTGGAGAAGGGACAGATGGCTTCAAAGATGTTGCCAAGAGGCCCTTGTTGTTAGAATGCTTGCTTGGCTGGTCAAAAACTAGTCCAAGAAGGTTAGGGGCTGCTATGGTCCCCAGGTCTTGAGACCTTTGAGTGGCAAGTTGGAGAGAACTATGAACCTTCAGCATTCAGGCAATCAAAGAGGGCATAGTGGAGGTCATGAGGCAGTGGGCTCCAGGGAGAGGCCGGAAGGACAGGCGGGGTCTTTTACCCTTCAGCTTCTTGCCATCTGTTTTGAGCCCTACTCAGTTTGGGATACTGACCTTCCACAACTTTGGTATTAAATATCTTTTTATGATACAATGCTGTCTTTTAACTTTTTTGATACAAAGTTTTCAGCCCTGTAGGATACTGGATATTCTGAAGTTCCCTGGTGGGGGAAGGGTGTGGTATGAAGGAGAGGTATGAACAAGGCCTGGCCGCTCGGGGATTGGGGAAAGGCAGACTTGGCTTCATCTGGCTTGGGGAAGGCTGGAAAACTGAGGTAGGTCCTGAAGGAAGGAGGGAGGAGATGCCTGAGGAAATGGGAAGGCAGTCTGCAAGGAGAGGGCAAGGCTGTGTGGATGGGTTGTCCCAGGATGGGTGTGGGCTGGAGTATAGTCCTAAACCTTTTTCTCAGGCAGTGGGATCATCTCCATGTTAGAAGTCCGTGGGGCCACAGCTTGGGGAACTCAGAGGCCAGACAGGACCTTCAAGGAGCGGCTCTATACCACTCTGCAGACATTGAAGACCCACCCAGAGATATTGAAGACTGGGGGTCTAGAGGGCCCAGATATGCTGGGCCAGGGGACTAGGAAAGAAGGCAGCGAGGGCGGAGGTTGAGAGCTATATATGAGGGCACTGCTTAGGAGATCGGGCGGCTAGGATTCCTGAGAAAGAGTCAAGGTCCAGCAGCCCTCACCCTCGGACACGGCAGGAGCCAGGTGTGTGGCCTGCCTGTTGCCAGTCTGGCGGTGAGGCTGCTCGTGGCCCGCCCACCTCAAAGTGGACACTAGGGGCCCCCGTCTGGCCCAGTCGAAGCCACCCACTAGCTGCATTCGGTTCGGCCTGGGGAATTCTCGGGGTGGTGCCCAGGCGGGGGACACTGCATGGGTGATCCGCGCCCGGGGACAGCAGCGGGGCGAGGGCGCTGCGGGGCGCGAACCCCCAGGCGACGCAGCTCACTCAAGGGGTCTCGCGCCGGAGGAAACTCGGGAGACGCCCGCCGCCCCGCCCTCCTCCAGCCTCTACCCCTCGGTCTTGTCCCTTCCTCCCTCCTCCTCCTCCCTCTACCCTGGCGGGGGCGGGGCCGGCGGCTCCCGCGCGCTCCGGCCCCTCCTCGGCCACACAAAGGCCCGTCTCCATGGCAGCCGCGGGGCCGGAGCGCAGCGCAGAGCGCGGCCCCGGCGCCATCGAGCCTCGGCGGTGGACGAGCAGGTATCGCACTTGCGGATGGGATCGCGGGGGGCGTCGCGCGGGATCCAGGCTTCGCGGTCCGCGGCGCTCGGCCTGCGCACCCGGGAGCGGGGACCTAGGGTAGTGCAGCCGCGCCGGGGGCGTCGCGGGCCTGCGCCTCCACTGTGTCTGTCTGTCCAACCCGTAGGGCCAGGCCGCTCCTGCACCTCCGGGTGGCGACCGGGCCTTCAGAGCCTGGAGACTGGCCTGGCGGGGCGGGTCCCGGCCACCCTGTGGAGCCTCAGCGGACCGGGTCTAGTTTCAGACCCTCCCTTCGTGCCCATTACCCTCACGGAATCGGCGGACCAAAGCGAGACCCTTCGTGTTGTGTTGGACCTCCAGGCCCCAGTACCCAAGCGAAGCCTGCGCAGACGCCGGGCTCTGCCGGGGCTCTTGGGGCACAACCTCCGTAGTCCCCACACCACCTAGGGCAGGGGACGGGGGGGCAGAGAGGACCAACGCTCAGCGCCTGGTGAGACCCCATGCTTCCAGGCGAGGTCTCCGCAGCTTCTGGTGTGGTTCGTTGGTGGTGCTTGGATGCTTCTGGCATCCAGAAGGCTTGCGTCTTGGAGGGCCCCGGGCGGTTTCCATCCTTGTCCTTCACCTGCTGGCTCTTCACCTCCCCGTAGCTTCTGCCGGAAGCTGGCACCCATTTGGCCCTTAACTGCTTCCCCTGTGGTCAGGCTGTGGGTCAGGATCCTGCCTTTCTCTCTGGGTGTTTCTGAACTCAACAGTCCTGGAGCTTCTGGCCACGGTCATTTTGACTCCTTTTCCTAACTCCTTAGAGAAGACAGGAAGGGAGGTCGGCCTGTGGCCACCATGGTGATGGTGATCAGAACTGGAGCTGAGGGCAGGCCCCCAAGCCAATGAGGATGGGATTCTCTTGGTCAGTCATTTGCTCAGGGGAGTGCCCCCTTTAATGTCTCTCTTCAGTCTGTGTATTGATGGCTTTAAAGCTGAATCTCCTCAGGACTGCCCACACACACCTTGAGAGTGGGAGGTCCTGGTTGCTCAGAGGTGGGGTCTGTCAGCCTGACCACATACCTGGATGCTACCCTGGCACAGCTGGAGGGCTACTGGTAAGCTGGACTGCTTGTAGGAAGAGCCCCCTCTCTGTTCAGAAGGCCAAGTCTCTAGGAAGGTTGGGCTGGCAAGTGAGGTGTTTTGTGGGGTGTGTCAAACTTTATTGGGTTGCACAGAAATTGCTAGAGAAGACTGAGGAATAAGCAGGTAGACAGCTGAGCCATGGCCACCCCTTCTACAGGGTTGGGAAGGCCTGAGGGCTGGCCAGGGGTTCCTTACCCCAAGAAAGAGGGAAGTAAGTTACTGAGAAAAACAAGGGTTTGGAATGCAAGTTCCCCCCTGGCCCCCCTTCCTCTACCGGCCGCCTGCCAAGAAGGAATTATTTTGGATTATCCAGCCGTGTCCAGAGGCTGCCACAGTCGTGGGAGAGGGATCCACTTCCGGCTGGGCCCGTGGGTTGAGAGCCGGAGGAGGGAGGGGCTGGCAAGTCCAGGCAGCTCCACCACCTCCCATGACTGCTCAAACCAGTCAGGGGCGGGTTAGTAGGGCATGCGTCACCTTGGATTGGAGAAGGCCCCAAGATTGGCTCCTCTGTGGGCCTTGTCTAGCCCGGAGTAGACCCAGGCTCCTCTGAGGAATGCCAGGGGGCAGGAGGTGCTCTGGACCCTGCTGGGAGACCCCCTTCACTTCCAGAAACCATGCACAGTTTCAGTGACAACGTCCTGGATGGGTCACACTGATGGCAGGGACTTGGATCAGGCTGAGGAAGCACATCCCTGGGGTCTGCCTGCAGTTGAACCTCAGGTTACTCTCCCATTTTCTGATAACTCACAGAAGGGCAGCCTAACCCTTGCCTGTGCATGTCCCCCACCATTGGAACGTGGTACTGGTCAGGACATCCCACAGGTGGGTAGAGATGCTATTGGGATGTTGCTGTGCTGAGTTGGCTCCTGGGGTTGGTGGCTGCCCAGCTCCTTGCAGGGCTGTGTTTCCAGCCACCTACATGGAGGTCACACTGGGAGGCAGTGCCTGCAGCTGAGGCCCAAGGGCAGGAAGCCCAGGGGCTTGGCCCTGGCCCTTGCTAGTGGAGCAGAAGAGATTGGATTGGAAGGGACTGGGCTGGGCTAGGCTGGCAACCTATGGAGAGGTCCATATGGCACATGTTCCCCCTGCTAGAACTCCAACCATTCTGGAACATCATGTCCTGTCTTCTATCTGGTATGTTTCATCATGGCAGGTGCTGATGGCCCTTCAAGGATGTTGGCCATGGGCAGGGATCACTGGCAAAAGGACCTTCTAGCCCTCTCCCTTGCTGTCATTCTGAGCTAGGCAAGACCACCTGCGTGCCAGGCCCTCTGACATGGAAGGACTGTTACCCAGCAGTCTAGCACTCCTTAAGTCATTCCCTTGTCCCTTTCATTGATTCGGGCTCCTCACCTTGCTTTTGATATTCAGAAAGTAAGCTTTTTATCCCTGTTGAGGGCCTCTGGTAAAAAGACTCTGCCTTGGACATTGGTAGGAAAAGGAGGTGAGCTAGCTGGTCAGAACTCAAACTGAGGCCTGGCAGTCAGAGCCAGCTCATGGAAGGCCAGCTTGTGGAGACTGAGCCTGCCCCTAGCCTTACTTCCTTTCTGCCCTCAAGCTAGAGGGGGTAGGGGCTGAGTAGAACCCCTCCCCCAGGGCAAATGGCTGTTTGTGTTTAGGGTGGGGCTATGAGTGGGTAGGGCTGGGCTCTGACTAATTATAGGCTGGGAAGGGCTGAAGTGTAGGGGAGGGTAATGGGGTAGTAGGGCAGCTGCCCCAGATCTCCTCTTTCCAGACCTCACATGATTCCTCTTTCTTCCTCTCCAGGGTTTCACATCCCCTGACACAGGCTTCTGCTCCCTGCCCCCCAGCTGTGTGAGGCCCTTTCTCCCCTCTGTTGACCTAGTAAGGACTCTGCCCTGTCCTTGGGCTCTCTGACTACAGGTGCTGCTTTGAGCCAGGCTCTGGAACAGCACCTCACTGGCCCTTCTACACTGTTAGAACATCTGAAAGATGGGATGGTCCTCTGCTATCCTGCACCCCAGCCCTAGTGAGGCCTTCCTTTAAAATTCATGAACCTGTGACAGTACTGAACTCAAGCCCCAAATGGAGTTCAGATGGCCAGGGATGGTAGAGCTGCCCTTGGAGCAGGTCTGTACCAATCCACAGTGAAAACTGTCACTGGGAAGAGCTCAAGCTGGTCTAGACTTAGAACTGGTGGGACTATTTCCAGTCTTTTGTCATTCTCTGGTCCCGCCTCTGCAGCCCAATGTCCCCGCCCCCAACCTGGCTCATTGCCTCCCACATGGCTGGCAGCCTTCCCTGGGATGTCCCCATGGACTGACTGAGTTCACACCTGAGCTGCCTAGGGTCCCAGTGGACTACATACAGAAGGGGCTCAACCTGGACTGAGATACCGTGCTGGGGGCAGGGCTGGGCTTGGTGGCCACAGCCTCTCAGCTCCCTGAACTTCAGAAACCTAGCAGTTCCCCATTCTGGGTGCCATCTGGGTCCTGGCCCCCAGCCTTAAGGAGAAGAAGGGAGGTCCATCAGGTATAGCCTTTGTTCTAACTCCAGCTCTGTCATCAGCCCAGCAGCCTGGCCTAGGACATGTCCTATTTGGACAAAGGGACCAGGCACTTGGAGGTAGGGTCCCTCTGGCACACTGACTAGTAGTTCAAATGTAAAGACCCTGGCTGAAGAAGAGAGGAAAAAGCCTTGATTGATGGTCATTCAGGAGGTCACTTGTGTCAATACTGCCCTTGGGACCCTGTCCTGGCAGTATTGGGGGGATTTGCTGTGTGCAGGGCTAGAACTCTCTTCCCAGGTGGCCTCCTGTAATCTTTGGCTTTGGCTCTGGCATGCCACCAGTGTTAGACTGCCTTGGGTTCACCTGTGGAATTGGTGATGGCTTCATGTCAAGTGTAAGGATATACTGGGGGGGACACATTGAGAACCTAGGAAATCTTTTCAGAGTAGGAACCACTCCTATCTCTTCTGGCTCATGTTGTGTGTGGAAGGCTCAGGCCATCTCCAAGAGTCTTCAGTCCATAGCAGGGTATGCTGCAGGCAGCAGGAATGACAGCTAAGAGGGCAATCTGTGATTGTCACATTGTCCACCGAGACCCCTCACTTCATCCTCAAGAACCCTAACCTAAACCTAGATAAGCACTGGGTCTGACATTAGCTCCAACACAAGAATGTTGCTCTGTCTTGAGAGGAACCAGGTAGCATAAGTGGTTCAGAGACCAAGGACCCTAAACCTTTTCCTGAAAGAAAGCTGCCCTGGGGCAGAAAAAGAAGAGTCCTATTCTGGACCACACTCTACCCTAACCTCATGCACTCGACACAGAAACACCTCTTTACTGCCCAGCAAGGAGGAGAAGTTATTTTAAGTTGAGCTGGGTGAGCTGGCTAGGATGAGGGATGGGTGACAGGAGGAAGGGACTCCAGCATGGTCCACTCACTCCCTCAGCTCCAAAAACGTTCACCCCAACTGGCCACTGGAGTGGAGGATTCAGCTTCCCTACTTCCACCTTGCTATTAAATCTGATCTGGGGGATCTCAGGGCTAGAAATGTCAAGAAGGACCGAGGCAGCGCCCCCTAACCCGACCCCCCTACCTTTGTGCAGCAGCACTCTAGAGCACAGCTCTCCACCTCTTCCAGATTTACTATTTAGACCTGTAGACCACAGTGGCCTCTGGTGTGTCAAGCTCTTCACTGAATAGAGGAAAAAGCTGGGTCTAAGGGCCCCAAATTCTCAACCCCATGTACATACCAGCAGCACCTCCCACTCTGAGCTGGGCATTTACTCTTTGGAAAATCCCAGGCCTTCCTAAGTCCTGAGTGCTTGCCCCACCTGTCTCACCTGGACATGGGACCTTGCTTACTGTTTGACCTTCAGACTCTGTTCAGCATCCCTCAAAGTATGATGTCCCTGCCAGGCTCCTTGATCAGTGTAGGAGACTGACCAGTGAGTAACCCTCCAGGCCAAGCTCCTGCCCTCCCAGCTCTGAAAAGCCCATTAGGGTATCCTCCAATGACTCAGTATTGGGATCTATGTACATGTTACCTGATTAAAGTCCTCAGCTCATGCCTGGAAATTGATTCTAGGTATTAGGGCAAGACCTTCCTGCTGGCAGGACTCTGACAGCATCATGGACATGTGTGTACCTGCACATGTGTGGTCATGTGGGAGCAGTGGCTAGCACCCAGGCTTGGCAAGGTACCCTAAGCTAATTGTAGGGTTCAGTGGGGAGGTGGGGCTGGGGTGACCGTGGAGGTACTGACAGGCTGACAGGGAGATTACAGGCCTAGCTGGCTCCTCTCTCACTCAGGCCCTCACCCATCCGCCCCCATGTCCACCCCTGGCTCCTGCTCAGAGTCCCAGGAGATTCAGTGGAACTTGTTCTGGGCCAGTTGCAGCCTCCATGAGCTTCAAGCTGCCCTGGCCAGCAGCATCTAGGCAGCACCTGGTGAGCCTGGGAAAGGGCGAGAGAGGGAAGAAGTGTAGGAGTGGGAGAAGTGGGATAGGAAAGCAAACATCAAGTCCCCTCCAGGAGCCTTTCTGTGGCCTCTGCAGCTGGCTGAACTTTCCAGTCCTCTTGAGCTGACTGCCTTGGCAGTGGTGACAGGACCCATTTGTGTCCTTCCTCAGTTTGCTGAGTTTGGAGGTACTCCAGGAGCACAGTAACCCCTTGGAGAGTGACTTGGATTCAGAGTGATGAATCTGGAGACCGGCTGTGTAGGTAGGGAAAGAGGCCGACACTGGAGTGTGATGAACCTGGTGGGGTACAGCCATGGCCAGTCAGGACCTTGTGGTGGCTGGGACTTGGAGTGTACAGGGGGACAGTTTGTGATAGGGAGCCAGAACAATGGCTGGCAGTATGGGGAATCAGGCCTAACTTCCCACCAGGATAGACAGAGGCTGCTATTGGCTCAGAAGTGGGAGGGAGGGAGTCTGGAGCAGGCACTTGGGCTTTGGCCTGTCAGCTCTTTGAGGCGCCTGAGAGGGCCAGGGCTGGATGTGGAGACCCTAGGTACTGGGTGCCCTCAGGCCTCAGGCAGAAAGGTGACTTGGATGCAACCTGGGCTAGGGAGAGAGTAAGTGAACAAGCCGGGGCTGGGACAGTGCTGACCCAGACCCTGAAATGGTGGTGTTCAAAGGTAAAACCTGCCTTGGGAGCCTGGGCTAGTGGGGAGAGGTTGTCTGAGACCCTGGGTGGGGTTCTTACTCAGCCCAGCAGGAAGCTTTCTGCACTGACGCTGGGCTCCCACTAGCACGTCACTTGGCCCTGGAGCACCACCCCTGCTCCTAGGTGAGGTGGCGCCGGTGGAGCTAGGTCATCCTCTAAGGAGTTTGTGCGGATATCCCCGGGGGTCTAGCCTAAGGCTGCTTGAAAGGCCAGACCGTGCTTGGTGAGCTGACCGCTGGATAGGGTGGCGGGGCAGCCCTGTGACTGACCCTGGGCGGAGCTACCGGCAGTGGGGCGGAGCCGCGTTTAGCTCCCCTTCCCGGCCGGGACTTTGGTAGGTAATGGCCGGTTCGTCCTGCTGCAGTGCCTGACACCAGGTTAGCATCGCAAGGGGATGACTCCTGACGGTTGCCGCTGTTACTGTCACCCGAGGTCGGGCTCCCACCTGCCCATCGCTTTGTAAGGTTCTCCAGCCGGGTGAGGCTCGCGCCAAAAGCGGAGTCCACGTGTTCCCCCCAGGTGTACACTGGGGTGCGGGGCCGGGAGAGTGCGGGGACTCCGGGACCGCCGGCGTCTCCACAGGGGCCGCTGGAGGAACCTGGGTCGCGCCTCGTCCTCGCCAGGGGTCGGCCTCCAGTGCGGTTCCCAGGTAACCGTCCTGCGCTCCCGCAGGAGTCTGGCGACCGCGGCGCTGGGGGAGGGGGCCTGCCACCTGGGTCGGTCTGGAAGGAGCGAGGCCCAGGCCGGCTCCCAGGTGTGGGGACCGGCCCAGCCTCCTGGGTTGTACTCTGACCGGGCTGCCAGGTGGGTGGAGTCTGGTGCGCGGGCACAGGGCGCGCCCTCACGTGGTCCTGCGTGCGCCCGGTGGCGGTCCCCGGGCACAGTGTTGCTGCTTCGCGGAGCTTCGAGGGGCATCGCAGCCCCTCCCTCTGGCTTGTTTTGAAAACAACGGAGCCTCGGATTTGCGGGCGCCGTGGCCTGTTTTGTCGCTCCTGATTTGTTTAACGCTCGCGGCTAATTGCGGATTTTTGTTGCCTTTGGGAGAGCGGACGCTCCGCCTCCTGGGTGCCAGCTGCAGCGGGGGAGGGGTGGCTTTGGTTTCCCCGAGGCCCTGTACCCCCACCCCCCCCATCCCCGGTGTGGTCGCCTATTCCGTAGTCCCAGTCTTGACCTGTGGGTGGTGCAGTTCCCACCCTACCTATTAGAGTCCTTGAATCCCGGCCTCCCTTGACACCTGGGCATGAGCTTAGGCGGAAATCGTTCCTTTCTCCCTGACAGTGCCTGGACCCCCTCACTCTTGCTCTCAGTCTTTGGTTTGCCGTCCTGGCCCCAAGGGGACCCCAGGTGTGCTCTCCTGCAGACCCGTACTGCCTCTTGTTGATTTGATTTGAGCCTTAAGAAACCGTGCTGCCTAGCCAGGCTTGGTTCCGCATGCCTTTAATCCCAGCACTGGGGAGGCAGAGACAGCTGGGGCTACAGGGAGACGCTGTCTCAAAAAGACCAAAAAAAAACCAAAAAAAACCCAAACCAAAAAAAGGAACCATGCAACGTGTGCATCCGAAGATGCTGAGAGCCAACTGGTTCTCACCCTGTGAGACCGCCCTAGAGTTGAGAAACTCAGTTGAGTGCCCCAGCCAAGGAATCTGGATTAAAAGAGGCCTGGGGTGAGAAGAACCTGAGGAAGGAAGCCTCAGTGGGCCCAGCGCCCCTGCTCCCTATGCTTGACTAAGAAGGAAATCCTTAAGTTTCAGGCCTGGAGGCTGGCACAAGGCATGTGTGCTCTCAGCCCTCCCGTTGTGCTCTCCTTGGTCCGTCTCCCACAGTCTCTGGGTCAGATTTGACCCACAGAGGGCTCCTTAAGTGATAATCATAGAGGATGAGTGACAGTGACCAGGGAAAGCATATCAGGGTGCTAAAGGGTAGGTAGATAATCCCCTCTGAAGGGGTGTTATCCCTAACCTACATATGGGGAAACTGCACATAGTAAATAGTTCATGTAGCTGCCATAAAGAGGCAGAGCTGGGTTTGAACTAGAGTAGTGCCCTTCAAGTCCTGCAATGCTGAAGCACTCAGAAGAGAGGTCTTTGTCTGGACTATGGGGGAGGGCACTTCTGGGAGCCAGAGGTGAAAGGGTAGGAGCATCAAGCCTGGACTGGACTTGGTAGTCTCTAGAGGGGTAGAAGCAGTGCTACTTTTATGTCTAGGAAGTGTTAGCCTTAGAGGATCCTGGTGGGGGAGTTAACAGTGGGGAGCCAGCCAGTCAACCGGTCAGCCTGCCTTCAGTGAATTCTGGATGGTGGACCCTGCTTGGTCAGGGGCTGGCTCACCAAATCCTTCTGAGACAAACATAACAGATTGCTCAGAAAAGAGCTATCTTGTTGCCTTCAGGAGTCACGCAGTAGAGAGCTGGGTCCTAGATGGTCTGCTGTAAAGAATCTGGAGATAGAGACTTCCCCTTGTACACAGAGTCCCATGTGCCCCTTGATCAGGTTAATCCTTCCCTATTCATGTAGCGACTGAGGACACTGAAGTGAGGCCTGATAATCTGCTTGCAGTCACCATAGGTCCAGGCCTGGGTCTGTTAAATGCGGGTGTGGGCTAGAGAAACCATGGGACACTTCTACACACGGCATGTGGAGGATGTTGGTGGGGCAGAGGTGGACAATGCCTCCAAGAGGAGGTACTGGGGCTCTTTGCTGGCCTAGAAGTGCTGGGAACAGACCTATAGTATCTAGACTAGGTCTGGATGCACCCTCCTCCCTGCTCACAAGGTTCACCATAGTTTTCATGTGGAGTTGAGGGATTTCAGACATCAGGAACTAGCACTTTGGTAGAATTGAATGAGCTGGGATCTTGGTGTAGTCCATCACCTGCCTCTGCAGTGCAGTTTGCCAGGGTGTGTCTGGAGCTGTCAAACTGTTGCCTGCAGCAAACCTACTGGGAAGTACCCTTGGTCTGTACCTCCTTTCTGGCCTATACCCACTGTTTCTAGGAGAAAGGGTACAATAGTAAGACCTGCTGAGTGCTACAGTGTAACATTCTCAGATTTTTCATGAATGAATTTTAGTCCTTACTAAACTCTGGGGTTAATTTACTGTTACTGTGTCTATTTGCAGATGGGGAAATGAGGCACAGAGAAGTTAACTTGCCCAGGGTCACACAGCTAGTAAGTAGAATCTCATAGTTATGGGTTTACATGTTTTTCAGAAAGCAGTTATTCTTTGTTTTGGTTTGGTTTTGGGCTTTTTTTGGACTGGGTCACACACACAGATCTACCTGCCTCTGCCTCTCAAGTGCTGGAATTAAAGGTGTGTACCACTACACCCAGCCAGAAAGTAGTTATTTTAATCAGAGTAATATACATACCTAGTTTAATAGTACAATAGACTTGTAATGAGAAGAAACTGCCCTGCCCCTGAGCAAAGGAGAGTGGCCAGCCTTGGTTGTGTTTTGCAAAGACAAGGTGAATACACTTGCTTTAAAGGCCTGAAAGTGTTGGAAGGGCCATGCTGGGGGAGGGGGGATGGAGGAGTAGAGGCCAGATGGGGTCCTGTGGGCCATGTATCCTTGACTAGGAGCAGAAGAGAGGGGGGGAGGTAGGACAGCCTCCCAGAGTGGCTGCTTTTTCTCCTTTGCCCTCTAGAGAATCCTGATGCCAGCCTGAAACAGAGACTGAGCTAGATCACTGGAGCCTTGGTAAGTGAGTGACTGTGGCAATGCAGTGAAGCCAGAAGTGCTACAAATCACCTGTTTTGGAGTCCTGAGTCTATATCTCTGTAGCTGTTCCCCCGGTCTGGTCTGGGTGGACAAGTCAGCTAGATAGACAAGCTCAGAGAGCAGGGGTGTATGCAGGTTCATAGCACCCCTGAGGGGGGATGGGGAGCCTCTTGTTCATGGCTTCCTTGAGCCCCAGTTCTTTGAGGCCAGGTTTTGCTCAGGTGGGCTGGGTGTTGAGGCATTGGCTTCTGGAATATTGGTCTGGAAATCTTTGCAGGTACCCTGGGAATACGTTCCAGGTCAGTAGCAGGTTAAGGTATGTGTAGTTTCTTGGAAGTATACCTTTTGAACTTCAGTGGGAAGGAGGCTGACTGGTGCCCCTGAGGAAATCCCCACTAGCCAGGCAAACAGGGATTCTGGACCTAGTTGAAAACAGGAAGCTCTGGCTGGCTGCCCTCCCATTCCAGGAACATCAGTGACAGGAAGCTCAGCTCTGCCCGGTGCTTGCAGCTCACACTGCCAGAGCACCACTGCGGTCAGGTGCTCTTTGCTCCCTGGCCTGGCCAGGCACATCTCTCAAGGCTTATTTGTCCAGGAAGTAGAAGGGAACTGCCACCTACAGAGTACAATCCAGGTCCCTCCTACCACCCAGAAGGCACTGGGACTGGAGCGTCCTTGTCCCACTACCTTGGTATCTGGGCTTTTTGGGTATGTGTATGCACACTCATGCACAGTGCTGAAAACCCAGGACCTCATATATGCTAGGCAAGTGTCCTACCACAGAGCTACACCCCTGCCCTCTAGTCCAGTTTTATTGTTGGGTTTTCCTCAGGTGTATGGTTGGTCCTGAGGCTCAAAAATTGATGGTGACCAAAGAGTTGACCTTACATCCATGTGATAAAGCTTCTTTTGGTGTGAGCTCCTTACATAGGGAGGAGGTGGCCAGTCTCCTTGCTAAGGTTAATGAAGAGAAGAAAAGCTCCTAGGAACCTGGAGGGTAGCTGAAGGGAGATTGTGGTGGGTGTCCCATGCCCCACCTCCCTTTAGATTAGCCCCTGGTTCAGGCCCTAGGCTAGAGTTTATATACCAATGGAGGCCAGGGGTGGAGGCTGGCACAACCATGCTAAAAAGGTGGTTGGTCAGGTTTGGGGCTATGTAGACTATGGCCCTTCCCCCGCCTGCGCTCCACCCCCTTCCACTCTCTCCCAGGCTGGGAACATTCCATTCATTCCCTTTCCTGGGAGCTGACAAGCTACTGCAACTTGGTGAGCTAGAGAGGTGAGCCTGTTGAGCCTGAGCAAACTGGCCTCGAGGTCAGGCCTTCTGGGGTGTGGACTGGCATGTAAGAATCTGGGGTAGAAACTGGCTAAGGGACAATGGGGCCCAAGGCTCTGAGCATAGCCTTGGAATCATGGGTAACTCAGCTTCACCCTTCTCTCTCTGGATAGCCACCCCCACTCCAGGACCCCCCTAGGTTGGGACACCCTCCCACCCCCACGCCCTGAAGTCCTAAAGGGCATTGATGAGGCCTGGTGCCTCAATTCTTCCTCTATACTTCCCATTGGCCAGGTGCTTCTTCCTCAGTACACCTTCTAGGTCTGAAGAAGCTTGGAGGGGTACAGAATAGAAATGAAGGACAGGTGGAGGTGTAGGGCCCATAAGAGAAAGCCATCACCCTGTTCCAGTAAACTCAGCTTCATCCACAGTTCAGGCCCCAGAAATGTCTTCCTTGGCCATAAGCAGAACAGAACTCTCTTGGAAGAGAGGGATACCAGCTAGGGCTCTCAAAGGGAGAGGAAATGTAGTGGTTAGAGGCAAGTCAGCATCCTGACCCTACCCACCCCCTCCAGGCTGCCTAATGCAAGTTACTTCCACTTCATATCTGTTCCTTCACTTGTTACTGGAAAGTTTCCAGTCTAAGCCTGGGGTATGTGTCATAGAATTGTTTTTAATGGTTCTAATGTTTCTTTTTCTTTTTCTTTTCTTTGAGACACAGTCTCCCTGTAGCCCCAGGTAGCCTGGGACTCGCTCGCTCTGTAGACCAGGCTGGCCTTGAACTCACAAAGATCCACCTGCCTCTGCTTCCCAAGTGCTAGGATTAAAGGTGTGCACCACCATGCCCAGCTTATTTTTAAAATTTTAACTGCTGTTTTATTTTGTTTTTCCCTGGGGAGTGAGAATATACAAGAATACCCAGGGTAATCTTAAATGGTGTGGTAGATTCTCTAGAGGTGTCCTTGCTGTTGTACCCATGGGTAGTCACACTGGTCAGGCATACTCAGTGGGTCCTGGCGTGGGGCATTCTCAAGCATTTGGAAGACAGAGCTGAATCTATCTCTCAGGGTCCACTCACAGGGCCCCAGATTTCTCTTCCAATTGAACATTTGACCCAGGCTCATAGACGGTATAACACAGACACAGACACAGACACAGACACACAGACACACACACACACACACACACACACACACACACACACACACACAGAGCCAGGTGTGGCCTGCCCCAGCCCCAAAGCTGCCACCTTTTGCACCACACATGGGTATGCTACCTTTGAGTCTGGTGGATCTGGAGTTGCTTACCCCTCCTCAGGAGGCAGCAACTAGAGAGAGCTATCAAGGGAGAGGCTGAGGGTTCTGGTGGTGAGCATAAATAGAATGTGGTTGGCTAGGCCATATGAGTGGGCCTTCAGTTGCAGTTCTGGTCTCAAGACTCAACATGTGCATGAGTAGTATGGGTCTACTTGCTCACAGGTCTGGGATTGGTGCCTGTGACCACTTGTAGCTTCTTGAGAGGCATATGTGTGAATAGCTGGGAGACTAGAGCTATCTCTTGGGGGCTTCCCTAAGGGACTGTGTCCCTCTGTGGCCTATGTTCTGGTCATTCAAGGCAGGGACTGGATGAGAAGCCTGGCCTTACCTGACCCTACTGTCTTTCCCCACAGAGTTCTGGGGGCAATGGCTCTGCCACTCTGGGCCCTGACCCTTCTGGGTTTGATGAGCCTAGGGGTGAGCCTAAGGCTCCGGAAGTTGGATGTTTTCCGCAGCAACACAGAGCTGAACCACCTGGTTGTGGATGAGACCTCAGGTGTGGTATATGTCGGGGCAGTAAATGCACTCTACCAGCTGAGTGCTGACCTGCAGCTCCAGCAGCATGCAGTCACAGGCCCTGCCATGGATAACAAGAAATGCACACCACCCATAGAGGCTAGCCAGTGCCATGAGGCAGTGTCCACTGACAACGTCAACCAGCTGCTGCTGCTCGATCCACCTGGGAAGCGCCTAGTTGAGTGTGGCAGCCTTTTCAAGGGCATTTGTGCCCTGCGTGCCCTGAGCAATGTCTCAGTGCGCCTGTTTTACGAAGATGGCAGTGGTGAGAAGTCCTTTGTAGCCAGTAATGATGAGAGAGTGGCCACAGTAGGGCTGGTGAGCTCCACACACCCTGATGGGGAGCGTGTGCTGTTTGTGGGCAAAGGCAATGGGCCACATGACAACGGCATCATTGTGAGCACCCGCCTGCTGGACAGGGCTGAGGGCCGGGAGGCCTTTGAGGCCTACTCAGACCACACCACCTTCAAGGCTGGCTACCTATCTACCAACACTCAGCAGTTTGTGGCAGCCTTTGAGGACAGCGTGTATGTTTTCTTCATCTTCAACCAGCAGGACAAGCACCCTGCCAGGAACCGCACATTGCTGGCACGCATGTGCAAAGATGACCCTTCTTACTACTCTTATGTAGAGATGGACCTGCAGTGCCAGGACCCCAGTGACTCCCAAGGCTCTGCCTTTGGCACCTGCCTGGCAGCCTCTGTAGCCACACCAGGTGCTGGCAAGGTGCTCTATGCTGTCTTCAGTAGGGATGGCCGGAGCAGTGGGGGGCCTGGTGCAGGCCTCTGCATGTTCCCACTAGATGAAGTCCATGCCAAGATGGAAGCCAACCGAAATACCTGCTATACAGGCACCCGAGAGGCAGGCCGGGAGACCTTCTACAAGCCCTTCCACGGAGAGATCCAATGTGGTGGCCATGTACTAGTATGTGTCTTTGTTTATGGAGTGTATGTTTCCCCTCCCCTTCCCACTCATGCCGGGGTATATGCAGTGTTGTAGCTGAGGCTCGAAAAGCATGAGGCTTCTTGGCATGTCAGTTATTGCTCTTGTTCCAGGCCTATGCTGGGTGTTACTGTATATAGCAGCAAATGGGTCCACCTCCTATAGACCCTTGTTCTCAATGATTTTGATGGGAGTTGGGGGGCACATGGAGGATTGGGCCTGACCATTGTAGCTCAGAGCCCTAGTAGGAAAGGGCTTTGGAGACAAGGAGGTCGTCCCCTCCTAATGCTGTGATCTACAGGGTGCCAGTGAGAGTTTCCCATGTGGCTCGGAGCATCTGCCCTACCCACTAGGCAGTCGTGATGGACTCACCGCCACTCCTCTGCTACAGCGTGGGGGCCTGAATCTCACAGCAGTGACCGTAACTGCTGAGAATGGTCACGCTGTTGCTTTCCTGGGCACCTCAGATGGCCGGATCCTCAAGGTGCAGCCCTGGGCAGGGAGGCTCCTGAAGGGGTCATCTGTGCCTGAGGCCCCTATCCTCATGGACTGCCTTGGTGCTCACAGGTGTACCTCGCCCCAGATGGCACTTCTGAAGAATATGGCTCTATCCTTGTGGACATCAACAAGAGAATCAAACAGGACCTGGCACTATCTGGAAACCTGTCCAGTCTGTATGCCATGACCCAGGATAAGGTCAGCCTAAAGATGGTCCCAGAAGGTGATAATGATTCAGACCACTGTAATAGGCCTAGAGGGTATGCTGGATCTTGCACTGGACAATGATCAGAGTTTGGGCTCATGTATCCTATCCAGTTTTGAGTTTCCATAGCACCACTGCTGCTTCTCCATGGTTTTATTTTACAGTGGTGCGGATTAAAGCCATGGTGGTTTGGTTTTGTTTCTTGTATTTTTTTTTGTTTTGTTTTGTTTTTGTTTTTTGGTCTTTTTGAGACGGGGTCTCCCTGTAGCCCCAGCTGTCCTGGAACTCACTAGTAGACCAGGCTGGCCTTGAACTCACAGAGATCCGCCTGCCTCTGCCTCCTGAGTGCTGGGATTAAAGGCATGGTTTTATGTGTGCTAGGCAAGTGCTTTTTCACTGAGCTGTATCCCTAGTCCTCCCTTTCTCTCCTTTGTCTCAGTTCAGTTTCCCTTTCTTGTCCTGCCCCAAGCTTGTAGGTGGGGTGGGTGTGAGTCCCTGCACCAAACTGACCTATTGTAAGTTGAACTTTTATTGGACTCCCTGCTTGGGTAGGCATGTCTGATGTGCTTGGTCTGTGGCTGTTCCTAACACCTTTAAGTTTGAGTTGATGTCTCAGACTTTCAAACAGCGTTCTGTATCTGTAAGTCATTTTCTCCTAAATGCCTTTCTACCCTACCCCTAGGTGTTCCGACTTCCAGTGCAGGAGTGTCTGAGCTATCTAACCTGTGCTCAGTGCCGTGATTCCCAGGACCCCTACTGTGGCTGGTGTGTTGTCGAGGGACGGTGAGCAACTTGCCCCTGCCCTGGTAGCCCAGAGGGCTATGGAGGGAAACACAACCCTGTCCTCAGGAAAGCAAGACCCTGCCTAGAGGTCAAGGAGTACTGGGACTGAGGTCACCCTTTGGACCTTGCAGATGCACCAGAAGGGCTGAGTGCCCAAGGGCTGAGGAAACTGGCCACTGGTTGTGGAGCCGGGATAAGTCCTGTGTGGCCATCACTGATGCTCATCCACAGAACATGAGCCGGCGGGCTCAGGGAGAGGTATGTGTCAGGTGGTAGAAAATGGATGGTGTACAGGACCAGGTGGGGGACTCTACCTGTTGACAAGGAGCTATTAGACAAGCAAGGAAGCTGTGGCCAGCCCCTTTGTATCCAGTGGGCAGACCCAGACCCTATCCCAGGGGCTCCTGAGTAACCCACATGACATTCCAGACAAAGTGGAATCAGGTTCTAGAGAATTCTCATCAGCCAACACATGCTTAGAACAGGGCTAGAGGTACTTTTCTAACAGCTTAGCCTTGCTCCCCCCTCCCCCCCAAGCCCCTTCCCCAAGACTGGGTATGTGGTAACAGGCTGGGAGGGGTGTGTCCTAGTGCAAACTACTCCCCACAGGTACAACTGGCTGTCAGCCCCCTGCCCACCCTGACTAATGAAGATGAGCTGCTGTGCCTCTTTGGTGAATCGCCCCCACATCCTGCCCGTGTGGAGGGGGATGCTGTCATCTGCCACTCCCCAAGCAGCATCCCTAGCACACCACCAGGCCAAGGTGAGACCCTATTCTTCAACCCCTGGGCCGGCACAGCTTTTTCTTGAACACAGCTGTGAGCTGTCCACTCTCACATTCTAGCCCATTGAGTACCATGTGGGAGCCAATCCTGGGTACAGGGTGCTATAGGGGAAAAGGAGACACTAAGTCTGGAAGCGGTGCTCTGTCCTGGGGAAACCAAGATCAAGACCCTGTATACCAGGTCAGGCACTGCTAATTTGTACAGTTGCCCATTACTTTTCCCTGCTGTGTCCAGCCTGAGACGTTTGGAGCTGTCCCCTGAGGCTTGACTGCTATGCCTATCCCTTGAGTATTGGTGGTAATGAGGGCACATGCAGTGACGTGGGCAGGGACCTACGAGGTCCTCCCACCCAGACTCTGAGGAGCCACTGCCCTCAGTACCTGCAGGAACAGAGAGAGGGTGCCAAAGCAGCCAAGCCCAGGGGAGAAAGACTAGCCCAGCCCTGGGAGCTGACACCTGAGCCCAGATTTGACAGCATGTAGCATGCCAGCTGAGCCTGCAGATTGGCGTGACCATACTGGGCCCTAATCCCCAGGACAGACCTGCCCTCAGCCTGTTATTGGGGGAGCTCCAATTACCTTGCTGCCTGCTGTCCCTGGACTTTGTGCCTTGGCTACTACCTGATACATTCTGCTATCTGTAATTTGTAGATCATGTGGCTGTGAGCATCCAGCTTCTCTTCAGACATGGCAATGTCTTCCTCACCTCCCACCAGTATCCTTTCTATGACTGTCGTGAGGCTATGAGCCTGGTAGAGAACCTACCGTGAGTCCTGCCTTTCTTTTGAGGCTCCTGCTATACCCCAGTCCTAGGTTCCCTTTACACCTCAGACCTCTTACCCGCTTCTGACCCTCTCCCAGGTGCATTTCCTGTGCTAGCAACCGCTGGACTTGCCAATGGGACCTGCTTTACCATGAGTGCCTGGAGGCCTCATCTAACCCAGAGGACAGATTCATACGTGCCCACATGGTAAATGTCACTGTATAGAGCAGCCAATTGTTTGTCCAAATAAGGGCACAGGTGGTGTGAGAGGTATTCTACCTGACCGGGTTTACTCTCTCCTAGGAAGATAATTGTCCCCAGTTCCTGGACCCTAGCCCTTTGGTCATCCCCATGAATCATGAGACAGAAGTGATTTTCCAGGGCAAGAATTTGGATACTGTGAAGGTGTGGAAGTCCTGGGGCAAAGTCTAGACTTGCCTCAAGGGTCATCCTCCTGAAGTTGGGGTTCCTGGGACCAGTCCTGTCCTCCCTTATTTGGAGCCAAGCTGGGGAGAGAACAATCAAGAGGGAAGGAAGCATGGGGTTTTCAGAGGCACCTGAGCATGGGAGCAGAATAGAGGAGTTGAGGCTCTCAAGGACTGGGGGGCCCAGGGGCCAGGTAACGGGATGGTGGACGTTCCCTGATTGAATAGTGGAGGTTCCCTGGGGCTCAAGTGGCTTTAAGAGTCCTCCAAGAGGCCAGGGAAGTTGGCTGGCTTGTCCAATTTCCAGAACATGCTGACTGGACTCTCTGTAGGTCTCCTCCCTGCATGTGGGCAGTGACCTGCTGAAGTTTGAGGTGGCTGTGACCATGCAGGAGCCAGGAACCTTCTCTTTTAGGACCCCAAAGGTACAGCTCCAAGCCAGACTGGTGGTGGTGGGTGGGGTGTTACTTGAGAAGAGGAGCTGAAAAGGGGCCCTTAGCTAGGGTCTTACCCTTCCTGCCTTGTGACCTGTGGAGGTGGCAAGTTGTCCCTGAGCATGTCTACCTGTGTCCCTTTCGCCAAAGGATCTAGTCTCCCATTTCAGGTGGCACACCTCCCTTACCCCTGGCCACCTGATGGCCCTCATTGACCTTTGGCAGTAAAGAGACTCCTGTGACTATGGGGCAACCCTGGGGGCAGGAAGTACAGTATGTCCCTGTGTGTGTCCCCCTTCAAGCTATCCCATGATGCCAATGAGACGCTGCCTCTTCACCTGTATGTTAAATCCTTTGGCAAGAACATTGACAGCAAGCTCCAAGGTAGGTGGGGGTCTCTGGAGAAGGTGGGGTAGGGGACAGGGCAGCCACTGACTACATTCTCTTCACAGTGACCCTCTACAACTGCTCCTTTGGGCGCAGCGACTGTAGCCTGTGTCTGGCTGCCGATCCTGCCTACAGGTGTGTGTGGTGTGGTGGGCAGAACAGGTGTGTGTATGAAGCTCTGTGCAGCAATGTGACTTCTGAATGCCCACCGCCTGTCATCACCATGGTGAGTTCTGTCACACACCTTTACCCTGTCCCTACATCCTTATCCTGCTGAAGCTACTTGGTCACTCACTGGGTTCTGCCAATTTCAGATCCAGCCCGAGACAGGCCCTCTGGGTGGGGGCATCCGTGTCACCATCCTTGGGTCCAATTTGGGTATCAGAGCAGATGATGTCAAGAAGATCACTGTGGCTGGCCAGAACTGTGCCTTTGAGCCAAGATGGTACTCTGTATCTACCCGGCAAGTAGACTCCCCCAACCTGGACCTCTTGGCTGGGGAGGATAGTAACTGAGCAGGCAGAAAGTAGAAGATAGGTGCGTAAGAGCTTAGATGGGTTCTGTTTACTGCCAGGATTGTGTGCGCAGTTGAGGCTGCAGAAGTGCCCTTCACTGGAGGTGTTGAGGTGGATGTTAATGGAAAACTCGGCCAGTCACCACCCAGTGTCCAGTTTACTTATCAAGTAAGTGCCTGACCCTTGACTAGATCCTGGACTAGACTTGCAGGTTGAGAAGATGTGAGTCTGCCCTCTGCTGCTGACCCCAGGCCTGTTGGTTTCTAACAATAATCACTGTCTGGGGGAGGTCTGGGGTTCAGCAGCAGAGGCTGAACTATTTGGCATGTTGTTGGCTTTCAGCAACCCCAGCCCCTCAGTGTGGAGCCACAACAGGGACCACAGGCAGGTGGTACAACACTGACCATCAGTGGCACCCATCTGGACACAGGCTCCAAGGAGGATGTGAGGGTGACCCTCAATGACATTCCTTGTAAAGTGTGGGTATTACTGAGTCTGGCTGGCCCTGGGGACAGGGTTGAGTAGTAAATCAAGCCTGTGTTGATGCTGACAGGCACCTCCCACTCTAGGACCAAGTTTGGGGCCCAGCTGCAGTGCATCACAGGCCCCCAGTTGGCTACTGGCCAGGTAGCCCTAGAGATCTACTATGGGGGCTCCCACGTGCCCAGCCCTGGCGTCTCCTTCACCTACTGCGAGAACCCGGTGTTGCGAGCCTTCGAGCCAATGCGAAGCTTTGTCAGGTGTGGCCTCTCTCCTTCCTAGCTAGTGTCCTTTCTCCCCAGCACTATCTGCTGACCTACAAGGAATGTGGCAGAACTGGGCAGGGCAGCAGAAAGACTCCTCCGGAAAAACCCCACTATACCCAGATGTTCTTCCACAGAACCCAGATGGCAGGGTCAGAGCAGGGTACTCTCAGACCCTGAGTGTTACTTCCCCTCCCTCCGACTGGTCACATGCTCTGAGTATGCCTGCTACTCTGCTACCTCCCAGTGCTCACACTGCCCACTGGGGTAGAATGGATCAAGAAGCATCCACTTTAAAGCTGGCTGGGCACCACCTCCCTTGCCTGGCTGAGCTCACTCAAGCACTGCACCCCACCCCTCCCCTCAATCCAGTGGTGGCCGGAGCATCAATGTCACAGGCCAGGGCTTCAGCCTCATCCAGAAGTTTGCCATGGTTGTCATTGCTGAGCCCCTGCAGTCCTGGCGGCGGCGGCGGGAGGCTGGACCCCTGCAGCCTACAACGGTCAGTCTGCTGTGGGTTGAGGGCTTAGTTCCAGTGTCAGTAACTAGGAACATGCCCAGGAGGGGCAAGGTCTGCACAAAGTGGTCTGAGGTCTTGGACCTATCCAACAGGTCATGGGCACCGAGTATGTATTCTACAATGACACCAAGGTTGTCTTCTTGACTCCTGCTGTTCCTGAGGAACCTGAGGCTTATAATCTCACTGCATTAATACAGATGGATGGTCATCGTGCCCTGCTCAGGACTGAGGCCGGTGCCTTTGAGTATGTGGCAGACCCCACCTTTGAGAACTTCACAGGTGGTGTCAAGAAGCAGGTCAACAAGCTCATTCATGCCCGGGTGAGGAGATCTACAGCTTGGGGACTTGGGGATTCAGTACCCAGGTCAATGTGGGGCACAGACCTGGGGTCCAGACTCAAGACCCTTCCTGGTCATACTGACCTGCCATCTGCTTCCTCCCAGGGAACCAATCTGAACAAAGCCATGACACTGCAGGAAGCTGAGGCATTTGTGGGTGCCGAGCGTTGCATTATGAAGACACTGACTGAGACTGACCTCTACTGTGAGCCCCCTGAGGTGCAGCCCCCACCCAAGCGGCGACAGAAGCGAGATACCACACACAACTTACCTGAATTCATTGTGCGTGAGAGTGGGAGGGCTGTGGAGGGCCTGGGCATGTCCAGCAGCGCCAGGCTCTCAGGAGAAGCCACCGCTGCCCATACCTGCCTTCGCTGAGCCCTAGCTTCTACACAGGTGAAGTTTGGCTCCCGAGAGTGGGTGCTAGGCCGGGTGGAATATGACACACGTGTGAGTGATGTGCCGCTCAGTCTCATCCTGCCTCTGGTCATCGTGCCCATGGTGGCTGTCATTGCTGTATCCATCTACTGCTATTGGTGAGCCCTGCCCCAGGCAAGCTGGTGACATTCCCCTCATCCCTCTGTCCACACTTGCTGCTGCCCTGTTCAGAGCAGATTTGCAGAAGCTCCTAATCCTGGGCTGCCTAGCAGCTGACCTGTCACGGCCCAAGAGCTGCTCTGTGCCCCGCAGGAGGAAGAGCCAGCAGGCTGAGCGCGAATATGAGAAGATCAAGTCCCAGTTGGAGGGCTTGGAGGAGAGTGTGAGGGACCGCTGTAAGAAGGAATTCACAGGTAAGGACCATCCCAGGCAGGTTGATCTTCCTCTTAGAGGTGGCAGGTGGCCACCCCTTAGGCCAGAGGCTGCAGGGCAATATGTCTAACCCTTTTCCCATGCCCCCCAGACCTAATGATCGAGATGGAGGACCAGACGAATGATGTGCATGAGGCAGGCATCCCCACACTGGACTACAAGACCTACACTGACCGTGTCTTCTTCCTGCCCTCCAAGGATGGTGACAAGGATGTCATGATCACTGGCAAGCTGGACATCCCTGAGACACGGCGGCCCATTGTAGAACAGGCCCTCTACCAGTTCTCCAACCTGCTTAATAGCAAGTCTTTCCTCATCAATGTGAGCAGAGAGGGGCCAGGGCAGGACACCTTAGAGGGTCAGTGTGGGGCAAGACCACAATGCAGGTGCTTAAGAGTACTCTGTCCTGCCATCCTGCAGTTTATTCATACCCTAGAGAATCAGCGGGAGTTCTCTGCTCGTGCCAAAGTCTACTTTGCATCACTGCTGACTGTGGCCCTGCATGGGAAGCTGGAGTACTATACAGACATCATGCGTACACTCTTCCTGGAGCTCATGGAGCAGTATGTGGTGGCCAAGAACCCCAAGCTGATGCTGCGCAGGTTTGTGGGTGGGTACAGGGCAGCTATGGCAGAGGCTGTGTGAATGGCATTGGGGGAGGGGGTACAGGCCTTTAAGACAGATGCAAAGCCACAACCTACCCACAGGGGCTACGCTACCCTTCTGCTTACGTGTGCCCCACGATGGGTCTCTGGGATCTGGATAGAGGGAGGTATGATCAATGTGAGGGTGGAAGAATGCTTGCAAGAGCCTGCTGGGCCTTAGGGATATGAGACTTCTCTGTACCACCAGGTCTGAAACAGTGGTGGAAAGAATGCTGTCTAACTGGATGTCCATCTGTCTCTATCAGTACCTAAAGGTGAGCTCCACCTAGGGTCAGGGCCTAAGTGCCTTGAAGTGGGCCCAGCCCCGCTATTGTAAGTCTACTTCCTGACCCAAGTGTGGTCAGTCTTATGACTCCTACTCACATGGCCCTGTGTTGCTCCAGGATAGTGCAGGTGAGCCCCTGTACAAGCTCTTCAAGGCCATTAAACACCAGGTAGAGAAGGGGCCAGTGGATGCTGTGCAGAAGAAGGCTAAGTACACCCTCAATGACACAGGACTGCTTGGGGACGATGTAGAGTATGCACCTCTGGTGAGTCTCCCAAGGCCAGGAGGGGCCTTGGAGGTTGAGCCAGGAAATTGGACTGGACTCTATCTTAGATGTCAGGAAAGTCAATCTGGTCAAGGGAGGGAGTTAGAGGCTGTTCCTCTCTGTCCTTAGAGTATATTCTTTTTTTCTTTCTTTCTTTCTTTTTTTTTTTCTGTAGCCCTTGCTGGCCTAGAATTTGCTGTGTAGATGTATAGGCAAGGCTGGGCTCAAACTCACAGAGATCCACTTGCTTCTGTCTTCCAAGTGCAAAGATGTGCACCACCATGTCTGGCTCACAGCATATTCTCTATGGTGGACCTGTGCTATCTGTGCTCACCCTCTTAAGAGGGCTGGGACGGTAGACATGGGCTCTGTGCAAGTACAGGCACCCATGAAGACTTAAAAGCACCCTTATCCTCAGCTAGTTGCATCCTAGTTGTCCCATGCCTTCCTCACTGTGTGCATGAGAGGTGTGTGTACAGTGTGGAATTTTATGTCCTGCCTGTGTTTATTTTCCCTCAAGTTTGTAAGAGGTATGTGTGAGCTCATCCTTACCAAGTTCTCCTGGGTAGGACTTCATCCTTACCAAGTTCTCCTGGGTAGGACTTCTGTGGGGCAGAAGTATGATTGTGACAGACCCTTCCTAGCTGGTCTTTCTTCCTGTGTTCCTTGACAGACGGTGAGCGTGATTGTTCAGGATGAAGGTGTTGATGCCATCCCAGTCAAGGTCCTCAACTGTGACACCATCTCTCAGGTCAAGGAGAAGATCATCGACCAGGTGTACCGTACACAACCCTGTTCCTGCTGGCCCAAGCCTGACAGTGTGGTACTTGGTGAGTACCCACCTATTCATGAGTCCCATGTGCCTGACTGTGTGGGAATGGGCAGCATGGGGCCTTGGGCTCCAAAAAGTGAGCTATGTCTTCTTTCAGAGTGGCGTCCTGGGTCCACAGCTCAGATTCTGTCTGACTTGGACCTGACCTCTCAGAGGGAAGGCCGGTGGAAGCGCATCAATACCCTGATGCACTACAATGTAAGTGTGGAGGTGGCCCAGGCAGGGGTTACCATGGACCTCATGGTGGGAACATGGCCTTCCCTCATGATTCTGTTTTCAGGTCCGTGATGGAGCTACCCTCATCCTGTCCAAGGTGGGAGTCTCCCAGCAGCCAGAGGACAGTCAACAGGATCTGCCTGGAGAACGTGAGTCTGTGCCTCCACCCTGTTCTTCTAGTCCCTAGTCTGTGAAGACCACATCCACCCTCTTCTGCCATCTAGGGGACCCAGAGTCCCTACATACCTAGCTCCAAGTCATGCCTACCTTGGTATCTGGGGTGGATCTGGATCCTTCAGCTTGCTGCTCCCTATAGGCCATGCCCTGCTGGAGGAGGAAAACCGTGTGTGGCACCTGGTACGACCAACCGACGAGGTAGATGAGGGGAAGTCCAAACGTGGCAGTGTGAAGGAGAAAGAGCGAACCAAGGCCATTACAGAGATCTACCTGACGCGGCTGCTGTCAGTCAAGGTGGTAACACTCATGTACACACACACTCCCCGACACTGGTACCTGGGCTGTGCCTCAGGGATCAGTCACACTGAGGTCTTCTACAGGGCACACTGCAGCAGTTTGTGGATAACTTTTTCCAGAGTGTGCTGGCACCTGGGCATGCAGTGCCACCTGCAGTCAAGTACTTCTTTGACTTCTTGGATGAGCAGGCAGAGAAGCATGACATCAGAGATGAGGATACCATCCATATCTGGAAAACTAACAGGTAAGGCCCTGCCCTGCCTGCCCCTGCAGTAGCCCAGCAGCCCCTCACTGCCTTTTTTTCTGCTGCAGTTTACCGCTCCGGTTCTGGGTAAACATCCTGAAGAACCCACATTTCATCTTTGATGTACATGTCCATGAGGTGGTAGATGCCTCCCTGTCAGTCATTGCACAGACCTTCATGGATGCCTGTACTCGCACAGAGCACAAGCTGAGCCGTGTGAGTAGAGGCCTGGGACACAGAGCTGGGTCAGCTGCCCAGGAGGTGTAGAGAGCCTAGGCTGGACAGTGGTCCATAGGGGTAGACTGGAGAAGTCATGGCTGAAATGGGGTGAATTTAGAATATACCAAAAGCTTGTCTAGTGTGGGTCTGTACATTTTGGACTAAAGTTTTAGACAAAAGCAGGTGTGTTAGGAGGGTGGCAACCAAGGCTTTAGGGTTGGCACAAATAGATCATCTACCTTCGACGCCCATGGACTGTCCCTGCTTACCTGTCCCTATCCCCAGCCTCCGCTGCTTCCTTACACAGAGAAAGTGGGTTTACTGAAAAGTATAAAATGCAAAGATACTATTCTTTTTTTTTTTTTTTTTTTTTTGGTCTTTTTGAGACAGGGTCTCCTTAAAGCTCTAGCTGGTCTGGAACTCACTATGTAGAGCAGGCTGGCCTCAGTCTCACAGAGGTCTACCTGCCTCTGCTTCTCCAGTGCTGGGATTAAAGGCATGTGCTCATCCACAAAACATTGTTTTGTTTTGAAACAGGGTCTCATTGTATAGCCCTGGCTAGCCTAGAATTTACTATATACACCAGGTTGGCCTTGAATTCATAGAGATCCACCTGCTTCAGCCTCTCAAGTGCCAGGACTGTAGACATGTACCACCATGCCTGACTTGGTATTGTTTTCTTGATGAAAGCTTTGGGAGTCTGAACAGGAGCCTCACCACCACTCTTTAAGGACTGAGTGGCTGAGCCAGGCCCAGTTTCACAGGCCTTTGTCTTCCACAGGACTCTCCCAGCAACAAGCTGCTGTATGCCAAGGAAATCTCTACCTATAAGAAGATGGTGGAGGAGTGAGTACTGCCCTGCCTTCAACCAGACCTGGGTGGCCACCCTTAATACCTGGGAAGGAGGGTTGGGAGACAACTGGAGATACCCAGGAGACCCCCAAGGCCTGGCTCTACCTCTTCCCATATATCCTGCCTCCATTTATAACCTTTCTACCCCTGCAGTTACTACAAGGGCGTCCGACAGATGGTTCAGGTCAGCGACCAGGACATGAACACACACTTGGCAGAGATTTCTAGGGTAAGGGCCACAGGGGTTCCCCAAGAATGAGGGCCCTGCTACCTCCTGCTCAGCCAGGCTCTGAACTACAGAGCTGGGTGAAACTGCTGTGCCCATGGTGAGAAAAGCAGAGGGTGGCCATGTTGGTTAGGTAAGCTGCCCTGAGTGGCAGAGTCCTGGGAAGAGGTGAGTAGACATGTATGTAGAGGCTGGTCTGTAGGCAGTGAGTAGCTCAGAACCCTGACATACCTACCTTAGGGGCTGTGGATGAGCAGATGCTGACATGTACATGGGCTTTGCATGTGGCCCCTGCCAGGGTGTGACCCTTATGTTCTTGTGTCTGGTAGTACCACACAGCCACCATATCACAGCCTGCTGTTCTGTGCAGCTGGCCTTGGGGCAGGGGGGGGGGTTCCCATTCCCTTTCCCATGCTGGTGATACTGTCATTCCCTAGGCACACACGGACTCCTTGAATACGCTTGTGGCACTGCACCAGCTCTACCAGTACACCCAGAAGTACTATGATGAGGTAGGGTCTGGGTCCCTGGGGTTGAATTCAGGGCGGCCTGTCCTCCTCTGCCAAGCCTGTGATTTGACAGATTTCCTTCCCCTCTCCTTGCCCCAGATTATTAATGCTTTGGAGGAGGACCCTGCAGCCCAAAAGATGCAATTGGCCTTTCGCCTGCAGCAGATTGCTGCTGCACTTGAGAACAAGGTTACTGACCTCTGACCTCTGACCATTACTGCTGCCTCAGGATGCAGGTGTGGTACCCTGGTATTGGGCAACCCCTTGGCATGAAGCTACATTGGCTATAGCTGAGCTCTTCTCTCCCCAGTAGAAGATGCACCCAAGGCATCTGGAGTGGGTGCAGCAGGCCCACCTCTTGTAGACTGTAGCGTCTTTCTCCTGAGCAATACTGCCCGGGCGCCCGAGTCAGCACCAGCTCCTTCCAATGGCACCAGCATCGGGTGTTCTCTGTGTTGTCTCCTGAGTGATTCGCAAATGTGCCTTACAAAGCCACACGGGGCCACTGGGGGCAGTGGGGCCTTGGCCTCCCCTTTCCATGCACCAGCAGCCTCCTAAGATACCTTGGGTTTGGCCTTGGGTAGAATCTGGGCCTGTAGCTCCCAGGGCCAGTTCCTGGACTGTGTCTGTCTGTCAGATGGAAGGAGAAGAAGCGGTACGATGCCTTCCTGACCTCACCTGGCCTCCTCGTGGGGTGCAGGCACTCCAGGTGGACTTCAGGGCCATCACTGGCTCCACCTCTAAGGTCAAGATGGACGTCAGACGTCGGGGTCCAGGTGGCCAGAGGGACCCAGAAGACTGGCAGTCCTGCTCTCAGCTGTCAAACAGGCTGTCCTGGAGGCCCTGCCTGGGTCTGGCGATGCTGGAGCAGCATCTCCCCCAGGATTACCTAACCCATTTTTGTAAATCTTGATTGTAAATCAATACACTTGTCTTTTTCACTCTCTGGTTGGCTGGGTTCTCCTAGGGCTGCTCACCTGTCCCTACCCCCTGGGCCTGTACTGCTCACAGCCTCTTTCTAGATACCAGAGTAGGCCTTTATATGGGCCAATGTGGGGCCTGGCTGGGCATGGGGATCAGGCCAGCTCTAGCACCTTTGCCTCCTGCAGCCTTCAGCCCCCCTCCCCACTTAATCTTGACCTGGACCTCTAAGCCATACAACAGGAGGGTTTCTTCTACTTTTCACACCTGTATCTGTGGGAGTTGGTTCTCTCGCCTCCATGTGGGTTCTGGGAATCAAACTCAGATCATCACGTTTGATGGCAAGCACCTTTACCTACTGAGCTACCTGGCTGCCCCTCCAAACTTATTTTCTACGGTGTGGCCAAGATAGTACTTTACAGCTCATATTTAGTAAGCACTTGTATATGAAGATCTTGCAGACACTGAGGCCTGAGTTTGAGATCAGCTTCTGTTCAGTGTCACAAGCTGCTCCAAGATGACTCAGGATACAAAGTTCATGGTCAAGAGTGAGTGGTACAATGGGAGTCCAAGAATCTGTTAGTGGGAAAGGGGATTGTTCCCAGTCCCCACGTGCAGAGCAGAGATGTAGAAAGTGCTCTAGTGTTCGTATAAGTTAGGCTGAGATGTGCACACAGAGCCTCATTCATTCCATAGGTTCTTAGAGGGCCCACCCTACTCCAGGCACTGTCCTAGGCATAGAACCCAGCAAGAAGCTGGAAAGTGGCTCTATCCTTATGGAGCCTCCCCACATTTAGGGTAGTGCCACATCAGGAAGTCAGGTAGTCCAGTTTTATTTTTGGCTTGATCCAAATGCTTATGTCTCTGTCCCATCCATCTGAACTATTCCCAGCATGTACTGACTGGCACATCCTATGCCTGAGGAGTCTTGATGAGAGGACCACAATTTATTATGACAGCTGTCTCTCCCAAGAAGGGGTACAAGACCAACAACCAACATCCCCTAACACAGGGGTCCCTGAAGGGATACTGCTACTATGACCCAACACAGCTCTCTCCCAGAGACCTGGCTGGCCTGGAAACCTGAACAAGTGCCTCTAAGAGCAGGGGAGAGGGAGTCATGTCTGGGAGTGCAGAGCTTGGGTTAGGGAGCTGGGAACCTTGAGGCCTGGATTCAAGAATGGATCTCTGAAGATCATCTTTGGCTCTTCCCACACGACAAGAACACTGCCAGGCTTGGGAGTGGTTGGCAGCCCCAACTGATCCCAGGTGAGTGTCCACCCTGACTCCTCACGTTCCTTAGAGGACAGATAGGTGTGTACAGAGATACAGGGCCTGTCCTGTATTGGGGAACAGCAAGGAGTAGAAACTTGCCTCTATGTTGGAGTGCTTGCAGGTAGGTAGACCCGCCTTGAGCTGGAGCAAAATGCCAACAGACCCAGGGGTGACCCATTGTCCTTCCCATTATGGCCTCATTTTCTTCCCAATGTACTGGAGAAAGGGAAGGAAGATGGGAAGGGGCTGTGGTACCCTTCATGTCCTTTCCCTGCATTAGCTCCTCCTGATAGATTTTCTTTTAGGAAGTGCTTTCTGATCACTGGTAGAGGTGGTCAGGGGATCTGAGAGGACACATTAAACTAGGGAACTGCCACAGCTGTCTAGTGAAGGGAGGGACTGGAGCACAGGGGGTAACAGACATGGAGAAAAGGGATTGGGTTATTTAGTGGTGATAATTACTGAATCACAGCAGAAGATGGAGATGGGGTTCCAGGGTTTTCCCACCCCCACCCCCCATAGTACTATCTTCTTGTCCCTGCCCCCAGGCTTCCTGGAGACTTAGATCAGCTCCCTGCCTATATCATCTCTCTGGAATGATTTCCGTACCCCCTGCCAAGTCCTGATGGTAGCTGTCCTTGAAGGGGAGCCTTCAGCACCCACCACCATCTGAAACTCAGGTGTCTATTCCCCTGTAGTGTTTGATCGATCCCACACACTCCCCAGAAGGTACCCTGGTACCTGTGGGTGGGCACACCAGGTGGAGGAGTGTCCAGAGCAGTTTGCTGAAGGATGAGCATCAATCACCATTGTATGAGAGCTAACCCTGGCCGGGCCCAACCTGTGGCTAACAATGGTCAGCTCTGACCACCAGGTCTTGGGGAGCAGCAGTCAGGGAGGTTGGTTGGGGGCTCTCCTGGGTAGGCAGCCATCTTTCTAACCCTTCAATCCAGTCCTCCACTCTGGGAGAGCCAAGGCTCAAAGCCTCCTGGAGACAAGGCAGGTCGTCCTGGGAACAGCCAGGCTTTGCCTGGCTGCTGTGTAGACAAAGGCCATTACCCTCCCCCCTGCTGGCTTGGCAGGCAAGGTTCCCACCACCCTCACCACCCCTGGCTAGGCTCCCACCTCCTTTCCTCCTGTGCCTTCAGCTAAAGCTCCATTAACTTTCTATAAAACCTCAACCCATGCCTGGGAAAGGTGCTGCCTGGGCTGGGGCCCTGGAGACTATAGCCCTGATTGGGGGCTGGGGCCCTCCAGGAGGACCACCTTGAGTGGGGCCTGGGACCACCATTAGGCTTTCCTGCTGGGCTCCCAGATGGAAAATGGTTCTCATAGGGGAAACTGACGTCAAGGATGGCCCAGGCTTGCCAAGGTTTTGTGAGAGGGGATGGGGTGAAGGGTTACACCTACTTCCTTGGCTACTTGTATGTAGCCCCCTGCCCCCACTGTATTTCAGGACTTGTGGCAGATGCCTAGTACTGCACTGACTTGTTTTAATTTGGTTGCCAATTCCTTTTGTGTGTGTGTGTGTGTGTGTGTGTGTGTGTGTGTGTGTGTATGAGCGTTTTGCCTGCATGGGTACCTGTGAAGGCATTGGATCTCCTGGAACTGGAGTTAAGAAAGGATGTTAGCTGCCCATGTGAGTCCTGGGTATTGAACCCTGGACATCTGCAAGAACAACTAGTGCTCTTAACAGCTGAACCATCCCTCCAGTCCCATTGCCAATTTAAAATTTATTTTTTGCATTATATTACCATTATTTTATTTATGATTTTGCTGGGCTGAGGGTCCAACCCAGGGCCTCATCCTGTTAGGTAAGTGCTGCTACATTCCAGCCATAATTTTTATTTAGTTCACATTAAAGTTTCGTGGGTTTTTTTAAATTATTTTTATTTTATATGTATGCATGTATTGCCTGCATGTAGGTAAGTGCACCCGAGTTGTGCAATGTTGGCGGAGGTCAAAAGAGGCTGTCGGATCCCCTGGGACTGGAGTTACAGACAGTTGTTAGCTGCCATGTGGGTGCTGGGATTTGAACCCAGGTATTCTGCAAGAACAGTGTTCTTAACCGCTGAGCCATCTCTCCAGCCCTGAGTTTTTTGTTTGTTTGTTTTTTTGGTCTTTTTGAGACAGGGTCTCCCTGTAGCCCCAGCTGTCCTGGAACTCACTATGTAGACCAGGCTGGCCTTGAACTCACAGAGATTCGCCTGCCTCTGCCTCCCAAGTGCTGGTATTAAAGGTGTGGGCCACCATGCCTGGCCTGGTTTTTATTATTTTTCATTTTATGTGTATGAATGTTTTGTGTGCATGTATGTAAGTGCATCACATGTGGTGCAATGCCTGTTGGGGTCATAAGACCGCCTCAGATCTTTAGATCTTTTGGAACTGGAGTTAGGGACAATTGTTAGCTGCCATGTGGGTGCTGGGAACTGAAACCCTGGTCCTCTGCAAGAGCAATAATTGCCAAGTGCTCTTAACCACTCTTAGTCATCTCTCCAGAACTTAACACTTTGCTTTTAAAAAGAAGTTCAGGGGGCTGGCGAGATGGCTCAGCGGTTAAGAGCACTGACTGCTCTTGCAGAGGACCCGGGTTTGATTCCTAGCACCCACATGGTGGCTGCAAACCATCCTTAACGCCAATTCCAATGCCTCTTCTGACCTCCGAGGCATTGCATGATACGGGTACACTCACATACATGCAGGCAATACACTTACACACATAAAATAAAAATAATAAATAAAAAATAATGAATATTTAAAAGGAAGTGCAGGCCAGCACGTACCTTTAATTCGAGCACAAGGGAGGCAGAGGCCAGCTTTGTCTACATGGCAAGTTCCAGGCTAGCCAGACTCAGAAGCCATTTCTGTACAGGGGGCAAGGCTCCTCTGATCCATGTTCACTGTCTTTTTTATTTTTTTAGTTTCCCGAGACAGGGTTTCACTCTGCAATTTAGGTGGCTTGGAATTCACTGTGTTGCCCTGAAGGCCTTGAAATTGCTGTGATCCTTCTGTACTAGCCTTCTGAACATTTAAATTGTAGATGTGACCCACCACACTAGACCCATCTTCACTTTCAAGTGGGAATAAACACGGACTTGCTGGAAGTGAGAGCATCTGCCCTGGGCATTGGGCGCTTGCTTGGGTGACAACTGCTAAGCTTCCTTGTGCTAGGGACCTGGAAAAGTCAAGGTTGGGGCCGATTCGCCAGTGACAGTGACTTCATAAAAAGGAAAAGTACCCAGTAGCCGGAAGGATCCATTTGGGGACCACACCTTGTGGCCCCAACCGTGCTGCTGCTGTCCCTGGTCCTGACTGGCCGGCTGGGAGACTCACCTCTTCCAGGAGTTGCTAAACCGAGGTTAGGACAAGAACCGGGGTAGGGGTAGACGCTGACCCGCAAAGGCCCTGTCACCAAGACAAATCTACCAGGAGGTGAACCACAGATGCCAAACAGAGGGGTCCTCCATGACGCAGGCTCCAACGCACCCCCTCTGGATCCTCAGAGGGGCCCTGGGCTAGCAACCCGGCGCTGGTTTTCAACCTAGAGCCTTTAGTTTTTCTTGGCTAGTGTTTTCTGTCTTGAGGGTATGCCCACCTCTTGCTCTGGCTCGCTTTTGACTGTTGTCCCTCATTTCTGAGGAAGCAGGCTGGGCAGGGGCCGAGGAAGGAAGGGCAGGGGGAGCGCGTGGCGTGCGGGAGGCGAAGGCGGGAAGCACCAGCGAGACCCTCGTCGCCCGCAGGGAAGGGAGGGCGGGTTTCCCTTTGTCGCCGTCCTGAAGCGCAGGAAGCCGCGCGTCAGTCTCCGGGAACCCCCGCTTCCCCGCCCCCCACCACCAGGCCGGGGAAATCCATTGGGCCTCCGCCTCGCGCCGCCGCCCCGCCCCGCCGCCCCCCAGCTCCGCGGTGCTCGCGCCTGCTGGGCGCGGGGCGCAGGGCGCGGGCCGGGTGCTGCGCGGGGCTCGGAGGCGCCCGCGCCGGCCGCCGCTGTGGACATGTCGGGTGCGCGTGCGGGCTTCTACCGGCAGGAGCTGAACAAGACCGTATGGGAGGTGCCTCAGCGGCTGCAGGGCCTGCGTCCAGTGGGCTCCGGCGCCTACGGCTCCGTCTGGTAGGGGCGGGGCATGGACCGGGTGGGAGCAGGGCGGGAACGTGTGCACGACCCTCGTGAGCCAGGCGGGGTGGCCGGCGTGGGGAGGGGCCTCGCCCTGCCTCCGCCCCCCACCTGCGCGCGTCCGAGAAACGAATGGGAGGGGGGGCGGAGGAAACTTTCCTGCCAGACTCCACTTGCTGGCAGGGAAGGGATCGTCTAATGTCCCCCAATCCCCGACCCCGAGTCTCCCCGAGCAGGGCCGAATCCTGCAGCATCACAGCTGGCTGGAGAACAGGTCTCTGAGGCCCCCAAATGTAGTAACCATTCGGGTTATTTTGGACAAGGGCTAAGCAACCCCAGTGTTTAACATGCACCCCCACCACCTCCTGGGTAGGTGCTAGTGTTTGAAAAAGGGGCGCCCAGCCACGGTGCGAGGACCTCTCTCCCTCAGCATCTAGCTCTCCCGTGGGCCCTGCCCCCTCCTTTAGTTTTCTAGAAGTCTCAGACTGCGGCTTGGGCCTAAACAGACACCTTGCAACACTCTTAAAATCCTTCGGGGCCTGTCCCAACTCTACCCCAGTTTACCTGACAACGGAACTCAGACTACCGCCCTGCAGCTAGGGCCTGAGGCCCAGAGGTTAGAGTCTTGTTTGGGGAGGGAGTACACATTGGGCTGAGGCCTGTTCCCAGGCACCTGGGTTTGGAAGGTGGTTGCAGATAGTCCTTGTTGACAGGCTGATCAAGGGTGTGGATATTGATATGTGCACCCCCAGCATGGGAAGGGGGTCCTTACCAAGGCCAGGAATCTGCTGTCCACAGGCAGGTCAGGGGGACAGGAAGGTGGAGGTTGCCAGGCTCTTGCTGGTTAGGGGCTTATCAGAGCCTCTTTGGAGGCTGGGTTCCAGAGCCTGCAGCAAAGGAAGGAGCTGAGGCTCAACTCTTGGATCTTGTTCTGTCATTTGCGTCATCAGAAGCCTGTCAGATCTGGCAAGGCTGTCTTCATCTCTAAAATTTCAAGAGCAGAAAGAGGATATAGGAGAGTAGGACAGTGCCCATAGGAGCTGTTCATGGTGGTGGGCCACATACCTGTACCTTGTAGCCCCAGCACACAGGTGGAGGTGGAGGATAAGTTCAAGGCCTCATGAGACCCTGTTTAAAAAATAATCAGGCCTGGCATGGTGGCACATGCTTTTAATCCCAGCATTCCGGAGGTAGAGGCAGGCAGATCTCTGTGAGTTGGAGGCCAGCCTGGTCTCCAAAGCTTATCCAGGACAGCTGGGGCTACAGGGAGACCCTGTCTCAAAAAGGCCAAAAAGGAGCCGGGTGTGGTGGCGCAGGCCTTTAATCCCAGCGCTCCGGAGGCAAAGGCAGGCAGATCTCTGTGAGTTCAAGGCCAGCCTGGTCTACACGGTGAGTGGTGAGTTCAGGGGGTGTTTCGGGCCCGGGGGGGGTAAAAAAAAAAAAAAAAAAAAAAAAAAAAAAAAAAAAAAAAAAAAAAAAAAAGACCAAAAAGGAAAAAAAAAGAAAAAAGAATTACTGGAAGATGGCCAAATTTTCCAAGTGAGACCTCGATCTTTTTCTCCACTGTATCTGTGACCCTGTGTTTGCTCAGTTGCACCACTGAGGTCAGTGATGAGGTGCCAGCTCCCTGTAACTTGATTGTACAGATACGGTCAAGCAAGAGGATCTGCTGCCCCATGGGGCCACTCCCCTCACAGGCCACCGCAGTTACTTGGACATTCCGCTAGTCATAGGGAAGCAGATTTCCTGCACTACTTTCTTGCCCCATGAGCATCCCAGACTTACCACATCTCATGCCCCTTGCCCCACCATGGGTATGGGGGGGTATCTTGTCTCCACCCACGGGATGTGTGTGCGTGTGTGTGTGTGTGTGTGTGTGTGTGTGTGTGTGCCCCAGGAGAAAGAGAAGAGGGAGAGAAGGAGCAAGAATCACCAGGGGAACAGGTTTTACAAAGGCTCTGGAGCCCACTGGGCTCCTTCAGTGGGGTCATAGCTGGCTCGGAGGGCAGGTGGGACGAGAGAGGTTGGGTAGAAGCGTTATCACCTGGTGGGAATCCAGGCCGCACCATAGCAGAGCTATGGGAACGGCAGGCTGGTCCAGGCCCCGCCCATATTGGGCGTGTCTCAAATTTGCATTTGAGGCTCTCCAGCGCTGGCTAGAGGAACTCAGTGTTCAGGACCCAGAGACCTCCTAACCTGAACATATCCTACCGTCCCGTTTTTCAGTTACAAATTGGTGGTGGTGGGGGGTGTTGGTTTTGTTTTCGTATTGCTTTGCTTTTGATGGGGCGTGGGGGATGGGGGGCAGAGTCTCACTAGGTTGGCCAGGCTGGCCTTGAACTCACCCCACTTCTCTTGCCTCCGTCTCCCAAGAAATGGGATTACAGGTGTAAGCCACCACAACCATCTTCCTTTACAAATTAGGATGCAAATAAACACCTCTGGAAACCTTTCCTTCCGTAATCTGAGACGTGGGGTTGGGGGTGCCCCGGGCTTTGAGGGGCAGCTCTAGAACTGGTGGATGAGCCTTCCTGTTCACTGTGTGCCCGGCGGAAGGATGCTTGCTGAAGGAGCATCCTTGGAGTATGGCTATTGCGTATTCCCACGCCACGACTTCACGGCGGGTGGGGCCCAGGCGTGGCGAGCGTCACGGGAGAAGAAACAGGCTCTGCCGGAGCACACTCCCGGGCAGTCAGCTCTAGAGGCCTTCTGGATGGCGCGAGAAGGGCGGCCTGGCGAGGGCGCAGGGCCAGCCGGGGGCAGGCGGGACTCAGCCTCTCAGGCCCGGAGCCCGTTGCGGAGGCCAGCGCCCGGCACCCCGCGCAGGGTGGGCTCAGGCCCGGCTCCCGCGCGCGTGACTCTCACTCTCCCACCTTGCAGCTCGGCCTACGACGCGCGGCTGCGCCAGAAGGTGGCGGTGAAGAAGCTGTCTCGCCCTTTCCAGTCACTGATCCACGCGCGGAGGACATACCGTGAGCTGAGGCTACTCAAACACCTGAAGCACGAGAACGTGAGAGGGTGGGCCAGCAGGGGACACGCCCG